ACATAACGGGGACGACTTCGAAGTATGTGTCACGATCCTCGCACGCGAATCAAGAACACAGACGCGAAAAGCTCTCGAGGCATTCTGGATGAATTCCAAAAATCCGAAAATGAACCGCAGAAAAGAATGCCTCATTATCACGCGTGATATAGGACAGTATATAAAACTGCTTTTCTGATGTGAGGGGCACATTATACTTCCATGTGATTTCTGTGCGGTTGGTCTCTACGTGACATACTTAGTGGAGACCTCATAGAAAGCGGCTCTGAGGAAGGCGAAATCCGCCGAAACGTCAGCTCATTCGTGAATAAAGAATAATAACACCTCGCGTTTGCTCAACAAAAATACGAAGAATTACTTGATCAATGCCGAGGTTAATAGAAAGTCGGTCGTGGNATGCCTCATTATCACGCGTGATATAGGACAGTATATAAAACTGCTTTTCTGATGTGAGGGGCACATTATACTTCCATGTGATTTCTGTGCGGTTGGTCTCTACGTGACATACTTAGTGGAGACCTCATAGAAAGCGGCTCTGAGGAAGGCGAAATCCGCCGAAACGTCAGCTCATTCGTGAATAAAGAATAATAACACCTCGCGTTTGCTCAACAAAAATACGAAGAATTACTTGATCAATGCCGAGGTTAATAGAAAGTCGGTCGTGGGAGTTACATTCAACCGTAGTTGTACATTCAGTAGTTCCTGTGATGTAAATTTTGTGGGGACGAAAGAAAATGCTGGTAATTAGAACTCTATGAGGAAGAAAATCGTTTGAACGAGTGGAGCGCCCTTTCAATCATTATCTCCATCATGAAACCATGGTGAAATGGTTGAATGCCACTGGAATCGACTTCGACTAACCGATTCTTCAGAAACACCCAAAACAGCTTCGCCAGCTGCAAAAACCGGTGCATTGTACACAAGCTGCTTGTTTCTACGTCGTTCGAAATTCTAACTATGATGACCAAAAATGAATACTGAATTGTCGACAACGCGATGTGTGTAGCGCAGTGATTAGAGCAAACCGTAATACACGCGCTGTCTTTGGTTCGATATTGCTTCCGGATAGCCAAACCGTCTCCACATATTCATTAATGTAGGAGGCGCGTTTAGGAAAATAGCACAGCAACTTAATACAACGATAGCACTCTCATGTTGTTTTATGATCTCTCCTTCTTTGAGCTGGCAAGAGGTTCTTAACAAGTACTTTGATCTTCGATGGCTATTGTGAAGCTTCTTCATCGCATGTGTACCAACTTATAGACATTTTCATTCTCTAACAAAGAAAAAGACTTTGGAGAAGGCTGAACCGCCGGAACATTAGCCCTCAATGACCAAGGCACTTGTTGACAGCCTCGTGTCATCATAGAAAAAGGAAAGCTTGTAGGACAATGTAAATTAAGTCTTCAATGCAATTCGGCTTAGAGTATGAGTGTGTAAAGTATAAAGAATGGTATAGAAGTAAGTTTATTACGAAATATGGAATAAAAAATTTCATTCATTTTATTTGACACACGAATCGATCTGGCCCCGAAGAATGCGTAGTTGCCGAAAGGTTTGCCGAGTAAAAGTTTTTATAGCAACCACTTGTCAGCTCAATCATGCAGAAAATTGTTGATAGTTGCATACATACGAAATGTAACGAAAGTGGGTCTTTAGGATCATAAGAATTAATAAATATCCAGGGCGATCGAAAGTCGTCTTTCGATTTGTGAATGAACGAACTTTTCATGAACGATGAAGAATCTCAAATCTAAAATGAAATACATCGAAAGTCCTCAAAGCGCTTCATGTTCTTTCAGAAGGACCAGCTTTACACATCGTGTTTATCAACTGGAACTTGGTTAAGTTGATTGTATTCTTCACTAAATGCGTCATTGGTACCGTCTATTCAATAGTGCACTTGGGAATCCGTCTACCGCAGACCCTTAGCGCAGACACCTGCGGTCCGTAGTTTTGCAAATATCTCGGCGTCATTGCAGTTGTTTTCCACATCACACTATACCATGGAAAAGAGTAGGCGGTAGATAAAAATTGGTTACACTGCGATTTGTAGTACAGCTACAGCTTAACCATGTTCAATCCCTATTTGTGCTTCCCAGATCAATCCCGTTGACCGAAAACTACGGATAGCACTGATAGACAGGAAAGTACTTGAGAGAAAAGTGAAATGAAGCACCCGCATGGTGTGGTGATGAACATGTTAGCACCCTGAACGCGTAATAACGTATTCGCTCCCCACTGTACGCACCTGCAGTCCGAAACTTTGCAAATATCTCAGCATCATTGTCATTGTATTTCACATCACACGCTACCATAAAAAGAACAGGTGGTGAGTTAAAAGCGATCATCCTGTCCTAAGGGCTCGTGTGACGCAGTAGTCGGAGGCGCCCTGCAAAACACATGTGGAATCGGTCTCTGCGCCCGTGGCCTACCAAACCTTCTGTCCCTCCGGTGTCGGTAAATTGGCACTAGAGTTGCTTGGAAGAAAAACAGCACTGGTTCGATACATCGGTAGGCTACTGCGAGTCATTTTAAAGACCCGATATGCATTCAGTCCCCTCCAAACGATGTTTAATGAAGTCAAATATATAGCGCATTCCTCAGGGATTGATCAACGCCGAATGCTCTATCTTTTATTCTTTTCATCCTTCATCTTATCGTAATGCTTTTCACGTTTCAAATTATTTCCTCGGATCTGCTAAAACAATACAATAATAGCTCTTTCTTTCTGGAAGAGGTAAATGGGTTGGCTATTCGTGACTATGAACAGAACTGCGTGTGTAGAGCACTGGTTAGACACTCTGCGATATATACGTGATCATCTAGCTAGCTCGACGCCTAGGATAAGCACAACGTGCACACAAGTAAGACTATCGACAGCATAGAGAACATATAGAGATTTCACCTCTTGAGTTAGCTTCTATCTCAGAGCAATTGCGACTTCGGTAGTGCCTTGCAACACATGGCTCTGTCACTGCTTCATCCGATGCCGACGGCGTCGCCAAGACTTCCGTTGCCAGCAAATTGTTACGAAAGCTGTCTGGAGAATAAATTTACTGACTTAATGCTCTTTTGACGATTTCGCCCCTGCCATAATGTCTTTAACGATAACGTTTAATTAAGCAAGTCAGCGAAGTGCATCAAAAAGGTCCGCAGCCGCTCTTCAAACTGGTTGCAGGAAAGGGGCCAATACCTCTTCATGAGAACACGTGGCCACACACTGCACAACAAAACCTACGAAGGTTAACAGTCTTGGGGTAAAAAACTACTCCGCATTCTCTTTACTCGCGAGACTTCTCCCCTACCAGCTTCTCGTTATGAAGACACCTTGATAACTTCTCATGCGAGAAATGCTTCAGAACCCAAGCTGAGTCGAAAAAGCCTTCAACCAATTCATTACTTCCAGAGGTTCAGAACTTCAATCATCCAGTCACTAATGGCTCTTGTCCATCGGTTGTCATTCATACGCATTACGTCTCCGCGCCACCTTATCTTCGACTGTTTGGCGTACAGAACAGCATCTTTGATTTTTGCTCGTTGACGCAGATCGGAGCTGCGGATCCCATCCCTTACTTGCGTGGAGCGGTATACTGCTATCATAGTCCATTCGACTGCGAGTTCGATAACGTTGAGTGACGTTTTACCCTGCTTACGCAGCGACCGCGTTTCTGACGCATACGTTGGGGCAGGAAGCATCGTTGAGTCGAAAAGGCGGGCGCGGAGTTGGGTGCTCTTTGTTCTCTTCACTACATTCTCGATGCTTTTGAAAGCACCACAAGCCGCTCGTTTACTACTGCTCAGCTCTGGATTTAGGTTGTTTATCATGTTGACTTCCCGACCTAGATAGATGTAGCTGGAGCACTTAGAGATATTCGTTCCGTTGAGCGTGAGTGGGGCATGTGAAACCAATCCGTTCTTCATAAACATCGTTTTTGTGAAGCTTGGCCGAAGGAAGACCAGTCTTTCCACAGGCTTTATCAAAGTCGTCGAGCATACGTTCCGCTTGGCTAATGTTTGGTGTTATAAGGAAGATGCCATCAGCAAAGCGAAGGTAGTGTAACTGCCGACCATCGATTTTCACTCCCATATTATCCTATTCCAATGTTCGCATGACGTTCTGGAGGGTGGCGGGAAATAATTTTTGAGAGATGGTATCGCCTTACCTAATTTCTTTTTTGACGTCAATGTTAAACTCGTTGTAGAATGGTGATACCTTGGTTGTGAAATTTTCGTACAGCTCACGAAGAATCTTTACGCAGTGAGTAGGGACTCCTTGACTAACAAGGGCTTCCAAGACTGCTTCTATCTCAACTGAATCAAAGGCCTTCTGTAACTACAGACGTCTCTTGGTGACTTTCGAACTCTCAACTTTCATAGCGCTAACGTGAAGATGCCGAATGAGCTTTTTCTACTTTTGGCGAAAAATAGTATCCTGCACGAGGGAGCGATGGCCTGACTCCGTGTAGAATTTCGGAACAACAGCAATACCGGTCGGGCAAAACTGTTTGCTATGATGTGGTCTATTTCTTTATGGTACCCTCCATTGGGAAACTCCCACGTCCAGCGGTGAGGGTGGTGCTTCTGGAATTGTAGGCTACCATGAATTGTCTTGGTCTCCATGATAAACTCAGACAGCCGCTCATCCTGTTCGTTCCATTCTAATCCGTGGGTCCCAATGTGTCGTTCTTCAGACGTTCCTGTTGGTCTAATCTTGGCGCTGAAATCTTCAATGATCACCTTGAAGAATATGTTGTCTTCTCTGTAAAACTTCTTCAAGTCCAAATAGAACACTTCTACTTCTTCTTCATCATAGTTTGATGTCGGCGCGTAAACGACGAAGATTGTCAAAGCTGGAATTGATCGACGTCCTTTTAATTGTAAACGTCCGATTCGGCTTGTTGGTTGTTCGAATGATTCGACGTTCATGGACAACTTCGTGTTGACGAGAGCGCCGAAGCCTCCGACTCTTCTACTATCGCATGTTCCGAGGAACAGTTCTTCTCTGGTGTCATAGACGGCGTTGGGAGGCTGGCGTCTTCACGTCTCGGCCAGGCCGACGACGTCATAGGTTATCCTTCTTCTTGCATGGTCAAGTCTTCTATCGAGGACTAAGATATAAGTGTGGGTGCATGGAAGGTTAAATTTCGTCACCTTACTTCGTTGCGATTTAGGCAGTTTAGAACGGTCCTGTAATTTTAGAAGCCTCTCCATAATAGTCCTATTCAACCCTGCCGATTCGGAGTCTTCTTCGGTATTAGGGGAGTGAGGCTCGTATCTTTTAGTGTGTTTATCACTTTGCTAGCCACTTATAGCTTGCTGGGCAATGAACGTAGGGACTGGGTAAAGTCATGGATAGCTTGCCAGTCTCTTCCACAGTGCGCATGGAGCATATTTGTTGAAGGCGAGTCCTGACAACCCCCATATGCTACCCTGTCACTTCATTGCAGGCTTTTTACCAAATTGACTCGTAGAATATATCCGCAAAAGCGAGAACGCACCCACACGCGCATTGGTGAATACGCTTTGTAAATACAGAAAGTATGTGCCAAATCCCCGCGGCAGAAACAGGGAGTCCATCTCTTGAATCCATTTGCGCCTCAGAGAAGAAATGCTCAATTTTGGTCCGCGATTAATTCCTTAACCGCTACCTGGAGACTACCCAAGTAGCTTGACGACTAACCGGGTCAAGATCCTTCGTATGGTAAAATGCATGGTGTATATATGTATATATATATATATTTTTTTTTATTTATATATTTATATATATACGGATTTGCACATATATATACCTTAAATGATGCTGAGATATTTGCAAAACTCCAGACCGCAGGTGTATGCGGTGGGGAACGAACGCACTATTGTCCTTTCCGGGAAGTAGCGCATTCACCACCACACCACGCAGGTCCTTCGATTCGCCTGTCTCTCAGCTAGTTCTATCGATCTTTTGCCATCAGCAATTGATCCTCCCAGATCAATCCCGCTTACGGGTGCACCATGTGGCGCAGCGACTAAGTGAGACAAATTCGCCTACTGAGTAAGATCCGTGTCCTTTTGTCGTCCTCATCGTTATCATTACCATTACTATTATTAATACTACCTTTGTTAATACTTACTCTGAGTGTGTAAAAATGTAATAAATACTATTTTAATGCTTCTCATGCATTTTCTTTTTGAATTCATTTCCTTGTTTTATGTTTTGTCATAGATTCCCATCTATCAAGAGCGCGTGTGGCGCACTGGTTGGAGGCGCCATGCAATACATGTGACATCGACTCCCGCGCCCATGTCCCACCAAGCCTTCTATCCCTCCGGGGTTGGCAAATTGGTGCCAGACTTGTCTGGGAGGATAGCAGTACTGGTTCGATACATCAGTAGGCCACCGCGAGTCATTATAAAGGCCAGATATGCATTCAATCACCTCCAACGATTCTTAATGAAATTGAATGCATGGCGCATTCCTTAGGGATTGATCGACGCCGAGAGCTTTATCCTTTATCCTTTATCTCATCTATTTATTTGAATAGATCAAATAATTGAATGTGTTCTTGGTGAACAAAAACGGATTTGTTACTTTATTCTTCATTGGCGAAAAAGCTGAGGCTTCGGCAGTTTTCACTTTGGATTTCACTATTGGATGGAATTTTCCACCTTGTTGGAATCACAGTGTTTTTGTCGAAAAACCCAGCGATATAATTAGAGGAAGCATGATCCACCAATTGGTAGGTATGGTGTTAATCTTTACTTTGAAACGTCGCATTAAAAGGAAAATATTTTGACATTGTAAGAAAAGGAATAGGAAATGAAGTTCATTGTAACTCTGGTAATGCCTTTAAGCTTAATCAAGAAAATATGAATAGATTTTATTAGAAATAAATCTCTATAGGAAGTAGTTCCGTATATTCTGTTACAAATTTGGTGTATAATCGTCAACAGAGCGTCAGCATCGCAATGGTAGAGATGCCGTCTAATATTAGCCGAAATGGCTTTCGTTCGACCTCACACAAGACCACCCATTCCTCTGTTCCTTCTAGAGTCGGCAAATTGGTACTAGAGTTGTCTACAAGGGTAAAAATACGTACCTAGTAGATTGTGTATCTCAACAACTCACTGTGTAAAGGATAAAGAATAAAGCTGTCGGCGTTGACCAATCCCTGAGGGATGCGCCATGCATTCGACTTCATTAAGTATCGTTGAAAGTGACTAAATGCATGTCTTGCCATTGTCTTGTCTTGTCTTGTCTTGTCTTGTCTTGTCTTGTCTTGTCTCGGTCCCACAACAATAGCATAATAAGTCACACTGCTAAACGTTCTGTTTTCACACTTTTCGCCTGCACTTTTTTGATATTCACAAGGTTTGCGTCGTGAATCTGTACACTATGTGAGCAGAGCTGTCGGTGTTATTGAACTCTCTTTGAGAGATTAATGTTACGATTAGAAACAATCGTGAAAATCCCGTTATATACAAAAATGGCTGAACTGAACGAGTGGTTCTTCTCAGCGACTTCGAAGATCTAACAGCTGGACAAGTTAACCACTGTGCAAAAGGATGACGACTAATCCGTTGATGAGATTTTTTTGATGCGAAATACAATCACAATGATGCCGAGATATTTGGAAGACTCCGGACCGCAGGTGTCTTTGATGGGAAACGAACGCGCTATTACCCTTTCCGGGGAGAAACGCGTTCACTACCACACCATGCGGGTCCTTCGTTTCGCCTGTCTCTCAGCTAATTATATCGATCAGTGCCATCAGCAATCACCCGTCAACGGGATTGATCTGTGGAACACAAATCGGCATTGAGCCCAGTTAAATCAGTAATATGAGGTTGTAAAAATTATTTCTATTAAATATAGGCGTTTTATCCTTCCTCAGAGCCCGTAGTGATAATGAATTGTCCACCATCGTTCGTCTTCGCAATTTAGCGCATCGAAATTGCAGTGACTCCAATCATCTGTAGAGGAGCACCACTCAAATAAATTAACCTCATTCAGAGATGTATTTTAATATGTGGTGGTTTTCTATTGGCTGATTTCTTGTTGATAATCATTTTTCTTCGGATAGCCAATCCGGTAGCTGTCGGTAGTAACACTTAAAGTAGGGCGTTTCTTTAATTCCACTTATCCGGCGAAAAATGACCACAACTTTCAACTCTAAACCCCACCACTCTTGCGCACAAAGTAGACTTTATTAATTAAAACAGAAAATTAGGAATATACAGTTTATTTTCAGCGAGATATAAGATCTCATATTATACCAAAAGAGGTGCATGTAACGCAGTGATTAAAGCCGCCTTGCAACACACGTCGATCGATCTGCACGCCCGTGGCACACGAAGCATTCCAACCCTCTGGTGTCGGAAAATTGGTACCAGAGTTGTCTGGAAGGATAAAGCATTAACTTAATACATCGGCAGGCTTCCGCTAGTCATTGTATAAGGTAGATATGCATTCAATCTCCTCGATCGATGTTAAGTGAAGTGGAATGCATGGCGCATCCCTCAAGGATTGATCAACGCCGAGAGCACTTTTTCCTATTCTACCAAATAAAATCTTTAATTTGTGTAGCTCAAAACCCGCGCATTACTCAGTATTTCCTACGAGGCTCGTTACTTTAAAGCGAAGACAACCAAAGGGAAGTCACTTCACAAATTAAAGCCCATGGTGCCCCTAAATGCGTTAACTCTTATGCCTGCTTTGATGTCTTCAGGTATTCAAATGTTTTAAAATTTATTTCCTCTTCTCCGGTCGTCCATTCATTTTTCGGTTCTCGTGCAGTCGCATCACGCGTCCTACTCACCACCTGATTTTCGACATTTTGGCATGCACAACGGCTTCTCTGACTTTTACAAGTGGGAGGTTCGGATTCCGTCCCTTAATTACATTATGCAGGATACTCTCAGAATCGTCTTCTCAACTGCGC